TATATCTCTTGTTTCATTCTTCTCCAATGACCATGGTTTAAAATACTGACATGCATGATGCACATTTTTTTTTCACATAATGTGATTCAAATAGTTGAAACTTTTTTTTTCTGTCTGAGTTTTTTAATGATGGACATGTTGGGGGGTGTTTAGTGTTTGAACATAAGGAGACCCCCCCCCCCCTCAACGTTGCAATATTTTGAACCTTGCCTCAAACCAAAATCCTCCATGCACATATTGTACCCTACACTTGCTTTCCCCACAAATCAATTTAGATCTCCTTTATAATGATCTTCTACTCGTTTGGAATTTCTTGTATTATGACTCCCTCCTTGCGTAGAGGGTTTGCTGGTTGTTTGAGCATTTTTATTCGTTTTTTTGGGGGGTAGGTAATAGGTTGTGATGGTGGTGGCATGCAATATTATCTAGTTATATTTGTCAATCAAAATAAAAATCTACATTGTATTAAATGAGAAAATACAAATGTCTTAATTTTCAATGCAGTGATTTGTTTGAATAACTTGTGATTTATTAAAAATAATAATAAAATTTTTTAGCTTTTAGCCATGTGAACTGATTTAGTTTAATGCTTAATTCTGGTAATTGAACAAAAATTATGACATTTAGCATCTTTTTATTTATCTTTTCTTTTCATTTGGATTGGATTAAGTATGCTGCTTGAAGATGGTTATTAAAGGGACTACTACTATTTGATTCTTTCAGGATGCTAGAAAGGGGGTCCTTTTCATTGATTTTCCTCCTGTCCTTCAACTTCAGCTCAAACGATTTGAATATGATTTCATGCGAGATACTATGGTCAAGGTTAGTGATATTACTTGAACCATTATTTGTTTATTTTTTTTTTGTGTATTCTAACTATTTTTCCACTTTTGGTGAATATATTAGTTTTGATTTTTTATTTGTTTTGGTTTTAATAGGAAATAATAGATTTCATGAACATACAATGATGTAACAGCTTTACTATTATACTAGATGTGATGGTGGGCCTTGGTGCAACGGTTAGTTGCTCCATTGTGACCTGGGTGACCAGGGTTCAAATCTTGGAAATGGCTCTGTATGTACAGGAGTAGGGCTACATACATCTGTCCCTCCCTAGATCCTGCATTGGCGGGAGCCTCGTGTACTGGGATGCCCTTTTTTACAATTACACTAGAAGGTGTTTCCTTATCATATGCATGTAAGGGAAAATAATATGTAGAAAGTTGTCAATCTTAGTGTCTAATGATCTCATCCTGGTTGCTTTTGATGTTCATCTGCATCTTGTCCAACAATCTCATTGCCAAGTGAATCAATATGTCTCTGCAAATTTTTTGGGAGTGATTGGAACATCCTTCAAAATTCCTTCTATTTTTTTTAATCAGTAACTGAAATGGGGTTTATTAATGTTCAAAAAGAATGTAGTACAAATTGCAATGTGCAATGGCACCCTTTTACATTTGGCTATCTCTTGCTTCTTCCTCTCTTCATTTTGTTTACATATGCCAATTGCTGTTTAAGCGATGACTCCCCTAAACAATCCACTTCTATTGGCCCTTGCCTGGCCAATACATTTGACAACTGTTAGCAGACCTTTTTAATGCAAGAGAAAGTTGTTCTTGTTTTCAAAGCTAAAGCATGTGGTTCTCTCATTATATGCCTAATGCCTGTATTTCCNATCACATCTAAAAGATAAAAATCTTTTACGTATATTAATTTCATTATTTTSAAAAATAATACTACTATAATAAGTATTTAATAGAGAAAATTCATATTAATTAGCARCTAAAGATGGTTATCAACTTTATATGATAAATATTCAAGATGGAAAGTAAAATAGAAAAAAACAAGGATGGAGTTTCTGTTTTATTTAATTAGAGAGAGAGAGAGAATAGAAAAAATAACTTTATTATTCTATTCTTTCTTTCCTCTTTCTTTTCTTTCCTTCTTTCTTTTTCTCTTCTCAAAACCCTTTGATCTTTTAAATTTCAATAGTAAAACATTAAAACAAAGCATAATTGATGTATATAGCATATAATAAAATGTATTAACACATACATTAATAAGATGCAACAATATAAATGATATTATAAAAGGCGCCTGCCTTGTCATTTTTGTTTCCTAGGCGGGCGCTTAGTCGCCTACGTGGGTGCCTAGTTGCCTAGAAGGGCGCCTAATTGCTAAAAGGCATTTGGGCAAGGCACCCAACCAAGGGTGCCTAGTTGCCTAGGCGATGCCTTGACAACTATGTGAGTGACTATTCCTGATTGTACAAGAATACATGGTCAAGATGATGACACCATTGTTTCTGAAAACTCCTTCCATTCCTAAAGCTCCCTGGTTGCCAAAGCTGCAACCATTGAATTTTAATTTGTTTAGATTATTTATTGGTGGCATTTCAAACATCCATTTGTTTCCCTTCGTGCCCTACACAGAGTTTGTTCGTTTATTATTCTATTAGCCAGGACCCGTGCGATGCACGGGATTTGTTAAGCGAAAGCTAAACAATAGAAGCACATAAAAGTATAGAACTATTTTATATTTTTAACTTTTTAAATAGTTAATAATTATTTATATTTTATATAGTACTTTTAATGATTTTTTTACAATACAAAAAATAACAATAATTAATTTTAGCTAGGGTTGCTCATCAAACTAATGAAACCGACCAACCCAATCAACTCGACCCGAGCTGGTCAGTTTTCTAGTATTTTCGGTCGATTTTAGTCCAATAATCTCCCAACCTGACGAGGTTGGATCAATTTTGCTTTGGCCATTTGTAAACTGACCAAAATTGAACGACTTGACCATAATATATAAATATATATATTAATATTATTTTATATTTTAAATATAATTTTTTTAATACAAGAAAGTGGGAAATTTCCATATTTCTTAGTCTAAAATATTTATTTATTATCATTAATTTAATTTTTAATAATGCCACTGTAATTTTTGAAATTTAAATGTTCTTAATAAAGACAATTGCTATTTTTTTCAATTAACATACATGC